TTTCTCCTGCAGTATATACTGTACTACTGTAATAATTTTGTAGCCACCTCTTTTGTTATTGCTGTAAACTCAAATATTGCAAGTATCCACTTAAAATGCTGTGAGCAGTTCGTCCCTCCAGTAAAATTTGTATCGCAGTAAAAAGTAACTTCTCAAGGTTCTTGCCTAATTTTTACCATGCATATTACAATATCACAAACCTTGACTAACACCCTGGGTTGCATGTGAGATGCCACTAGTGATGTCAGAAGTTCTCCCATGAAGCAGAGTAAAGTCATGACAAAAAAGAATACATGCATGATGTGCAAGCTTACCACACAAACTTAAACCTTTTGATGTCATCTGCTTTCCCCAAATCTGAATGTTATATTTCTCATCTCCCTGCTTTTTTCTGTAATAATCTTATCATGTACATACATAGGACTAAATAATTGTATTTGTTTGTTCTTAAGTTTTATAAAAATAATATACTATATGAAGTCCTATACAAATTCAATTTTTTAGTTATTATGTTTTTAAGGTTCATCAACTCATTTGTCTTGTCATTAGATATTTGCTCTTTCATTTAGGCTAAAATATTTCCATAATTCCCCAGTACCACACAGATGCTTTATTCCTAGCAAGCCTCAAACAAATTGGAAATGAAATAGACCACATCCTTCATAATAAATGATATTACACAGTTAGCCTTGCAAGCACATATAAAAGTCAACATCTCAGCACCATAAAAACGATTTCATCTTCTTTAACCAAAGACCCAATAGATGGATCTTGAACAAAAGGAAGAAAAATGAAGACAAGAACTTCAAAATCTTATGAAAATCAGATACACTGGGTACTAAGACTAGAGGAATCCCTAGGTATATTGGAAACACTTTTAAACCTTGAACCAAAGCTATTCCATGAAGTCATCTTTAAACTAAGCCACCCCCAAAGCCCACTGTCACTGAGCCAATTCTATTCCTAACAACCCTGTATATGCTGAGATTTCAATCTATAAGAGCAGGCAGCCTCAACTTTCTCCCATGGAAAGACTGGTGGGTTTGAACCCATGAACTTATTATAAGCAGCCCAATACCAGTTCCACCATAACTCCTTAAACAAAAGAACAGTTTAGCTCAATTAATGAAGAATGTTTGTTGATAGGATAATATACATACACCTAAAAGGAAGACTAATTAATACTACTATTACTCAAATCTATGCACTAAACACTAAAGCAATGATAAAGAAATTGAAGAATTCTAGCAATTTCTATAGTTTGAAATTGGTCAAATATATAATCAAGATACAATGGTAATTACTGGTAAATGGAATGTGAAAGCTGGGAACAAAGAGGAAGGATCAATAGTTGGAAAATATGGCTTTGGTGATAGAAATGATACCAGAGATTGCATGATAGAATTTTGTGAGACCAATGACTTATTCATTGCAAACACCTTTTTTCAACAATGTATACAGCAACTGTACACGTGGACCTCACTAGATGGAATTCATGGGAATCAAATTACGCCTATTGGAAGAGAGAACTGTTTTTGTCAGGTGCCATCAAACTGACTGACTCAAGTGACTCCCTATTCACAACAGATGAAACACTGCCCGGTTCTGCACCATCCTCACAATTGTTACACTCATGGCAGCAGCCATCAAGAAATCAAACTATGTACTGCATTAGATAAATTCGTTGCAAAGGATTTTTAAATCTTTGCTCTTTGAAGTGTCAAAGAGCAAAGATGTAACTTTGAGGACTAAAGTGTGTCTGTCCCAATTCATGACCTTTTCAATTCCCTCATACATACTTGAAAGTTGGATGATGAATAAGGAAGACTGCTGAAGAATTAATGCATTTGAATTATGGTGTTGGAGAATATTGAAAGTACCATGGACTGCCAAAAGAACAAACAAATCTGTCATAGAAGAAGTGCAGTCAGAATGTTCCTTAGAAGCAAGGATAGTAAGACTTCGTCTCTCATTCTTAGGACACGTTGTCAGGAGGAACCAGTCCCTGAGAAAGATATCATGCTTAGTAAAGTGGACCCCCAACTAGATGGACTGACACAGTAGCAGTAACAATGGGCTCAGACATGACAATTGTGAGGATGGTACAGGACCGGGCAGTATTTCGTTGTATTACACATAGGGTCGCTGAGTCAGAACTGACTTGATGGCCCCTAACAACAAGGAGTTCTGGTGTGGTGCTGTGAGTTAATGTGCTGGACTGCAAAGTCGGTTTGAACAGCACAGTGGGTGGTTCAAGCTCATCAGCCACTCTTCGGAAATCCTATAAGGTGTTGGAACCAACTCGACGGTACTTAACAACACCAACAACAAAGTAGTATGTTAATAAATTAGCTGTGAAAAAGTTCTACTTTAATAATTTTCTGGTTCTCCACTGTCTTTAGTTATATCTAGTACTACTATAACAAGTAGATGGCTTTGTTGTTCTTGTCAAGTGCACATCATTTCCCATACATAGTAAAATTCTACAGGGTTTTTAAGGCTGAAAATCTTTGCAGAAGCAGAAAACCTCATTTTTCTCTCATTGAGCGGCTGGTGGTCTTAAATCACAGGACCTTGTGGTTCGAAGTCCAGTGCTTATCCTACAGGGCCACAGTGCTCCCAGATGGCTTGGCTATTGTTGTTAAGTGCTGTCAAGTTGGTTCCGACCCATAGTGACCCTGTATAGGGTTTCGGAGAAGCAGCTGGTGGGTTTGAACTGCTGACCTTGTGGTTCAAACTGACCTTGCAGTCCAGCACGTTATCCTGCAGCACCACATCAGGACTCCTCCCAGACAACTTTAACAAACAGAAATTCACTCAGCTTAGGATGTTGAATTCAGGGTACCAACTGGAAGGGAAGGCCCTGTCTATTCTGGGAGAAGGTCCCTGTCTCTTCAGCTTGTTTCTAGGTTTACTGGAGCTCTTCATGTGGCTTGGCATCAATCTTCCCCCATCTCTGCTTCTTTAAGCTCTTCTAGATCTCAAAAGAGATAGGGTCAACAGCCACTAATACTGTCTCAATAATATAACAAACACAATCCATGCCCAAATAGGATCATAGCCATAGGAACAGAAGTTAAGATTTACTTGTACAACATATCTAGGGGAGGGGGAAATTCAATCAATAACATCCACTACTTGTAACAGACCAGAACAAACACAGTTCAGGAAGAATAACCATTGTTGACACACATGCACATCAGTTTGTTTCCACTACATTCCCATTTAGCAAGAATTTTGTTACATTATCTTTACAGTTTAGTATGAATAGGTGATTACTGTTGTTACTGTTAGTTCCCCTGGAGTAGATTCCAACTCTTAGCACCTCATGTATTGTTCTAGGTATCGACCTTGAGTAGATTCTAACTCCTAGCACCCCATGTACATTGTTCCACAGGATGTTCTTGGCTGTGATAGGTATGGGTAGGTTAAAATCACCAACCTTTAAGTTAGCAGTTAGGCACAAACTCTTTGTGACACCTAACTAGATGATTTTTTTAATGCAACTGTAGAGTGGCAACTGTCTTTGCTTAATTCTGGAGGAAGGAACTACTCAGTAATCCATAATTTTTAGGGGCATAAATAAAACAACCTGAAGGTCGGCAGTTCGAAACTTCTAGCAGTTCTGCAGGAGAAAGAGAAGGTGTTCTGCTCCCATAAGGATTTATAGCCTCGGAAACCCTGTGCAGGGTCACTATGAGTCGAAACCGACTCCATGGTACTTAACAACAACAACAAATAAAACAAACATTTACTGGTATCTTTGTCAATATTTTATATTTAATAACCACTATCACCAGTTTGTCAAACTGTAGTTAGCACATTGCTGTGATGATGGAAGCTATGCCAGCAGCATTTCAAATACCAACAGGGTCACTGTGCTAGACAGGTTTCGGTGGAGCTTCCTATGAGAAAGGCATGGCAACCTACTTCTAAAAATTCGTCACTGAAATCATAATGGATTACAAACAAATAATGTTTGATGTTGGACTCACTTGCTTTACATTATCATCAGGATGGAATCAGTCGCTAAAGGACATCAAGTTTGGTGAAACAGAAGGCCAATGAGGGTGAGGTGGGCCCTAGGTGAAATGGATTTGGCATGACAGCCACAAAGATGGGCTAAATCATGTCTGAGATCTCAAGGATGACACAGGACTAGGCAACATTGTGTTCTGCTGTATATGACATCACCATGAGTGGGACTTGATTAATGGCAGGTTCTACGGGTTTAAGAAATTATATTTGATGCTGGGGTTCTGTCACTTAAATACTGTGAGCCCAAGGTCAAATTATTTATCCCTTCTAAATCCCAATTCTCTTGCCTGTAAATCAAAGATAATAGCAGCCTACCTCCAAAAGCGCCTTTTTAGGATTGACTGAGAAAACTCAAATGAACTGCTAAGCATAGTTCCTAGCTCAAAATTAAATATTCAGTAAATGTGGATTTGTAATTTCTGATATGTTCCTCCTGGTGTGGAGCTGTAAGCTCAGCATTGAGCTGTGAACCACAAGGTTGGCAGTTCAAACTCACCAGCTGCTCCTCGGAACCCAATACAGTGTCGCATGAGTCAGAACCAACTCAACGGCACTTAACAAAACAATCTAGGCACTAGAGGAGGTTATGAAATTATACGACATATTTGCAACCCACTCTTTCCCATTCTCAGTATGTTAACCAGATCCTACATTCTTTTCACGTTTCAAAATAAGTAAATACGGATCAATACACCGCCAAATGTAACTGACAACCTATGAATTCTTTCCGACGCCTTGGCGAATCACAGTTAAAGTGGACAAGGGCTAACGGAAGATTACTGCTGGAAGACTAATACAGGTAGTTAGAAGGTACCAAGCAAGGGAAAACTATCCAGGTAAAAGACAAGTTTACAGCCGGAAAATAATAGGAAAACATAAAAGGTCATTGAATCACGTAACATCAACTCTTCTCGCTTACAGAAGTCCCAGTAAACAGCAATACCTGGGAAGGAGATACCTACGGCATTTCGTGATTCAAGGGAGTACTGCCGCCGCTGGAAAAAATGGACAAAACAACACTCAAGGCAGTGAGACCGCAGGGAGTAACCCTAAAGCATGAAAAGCGCGGGCCGGCGTGCGCAGGACGCTGTATCACACCTAAAGCTGTCCGCTGGAAACACCCTCCCGGCAATGAAGGATCCGTAGAGGGCGGTGGAAAGAATCTACTCCCAAGATCGCATCCACTCGTCGCCGTGTTCAACACAAGAACCCCTTTACGATTTTAGCCATAACAGTCTTCTTTCACCACAATAGATGAACGTCTCTGTTTGCTCTCGATTGACCCCCATCCCCCAGGTTTCTAGCCGGACCTTTTGTGGCTGTGCTCTGCATCTTATATCCGGTAGTGGCGAGGTGCGGTTGCCATGGTAATTAGAGCCAGGCCGAAATCTGTCCCAAGGCGGTGAGAGAATCGCGGCACCGTGGAAGAGAATTGGCTGCGCTTCCTTCTTTGAGAGCTGGAATTAGGTAGCAAACAGCTCTCTAGCTCCGTCTTTTCGTTCCCTACCCGCCCGCCCTCTGCCACTCACTGTTTGGCTTCCTCTTCTCTCACCTGCTTCTTGTATTTCTCATACTAAAAATCGGTGTGTGTATGTACCATCATTGTGTATATAAAATGCAGTTTTATATGCACAGAAGAAGACAAAAATAGATAACTGTCGGAGACTAGCCGTGAACGTATTTCACTGTGTAGAGTGGGTGGCTTTTTGTTTTCCCTTGTTCCTTAAGAAGCCTCGGGCGCTTGCTAACAGTTTATTTTTCTTGCTGTTTTGTGGCTGGTTATTTATGGAGCCGTTTGCTGCAGTGTGCTCTCTAGGCCCCTGTCTCGGTCTCGGGCTGGAGTTTTAAATGAAGGAGGTTTCCAAGCCTGAGGGGTGCAATTATATATTTATCTAAGCTTCAGTGTGGTCTCTCATTAGAGAAAAGGAAAGAGTAGAATTCTGGAACAAAACTGTCGCAGGATTTCCACGCCAAGAAGTCACCTTATTTTGAAAGAGTATTCCAGAACAACCCCCCCCCCCCCAAATACTTACCATTTTTAAATTGTTAGTTATAAAGTGAGTATTCATTTTACCCTTCTTTACTGGACTTTTTTTTTTTTCATATTTGTGAGATGTGTGCAGGCATATGTGTTTAAAACACACTGATGCTTAATTATAGTGGTACCAATTTGCAGTAACCAGACTGTGACACCACATCCCTATGGGGTCCTTCTAAATCTGGTGTAATATGAAAGTGTCAGGCAGGCGGTCTGTGTATTATAAATAGGGTACTTCATCCATGATAAGCGATTATCTTTCTTTCCCAAGTGTAAAAGACCTATATAATTCAGAAGGTGCAAGTGATTTAGGCCTCCGGAGTAAGAATCCAATGAGTCCTGAAGGAGACCCTACTGTGTCGTCTTATTGTTGAACTTGAAATATTCCATTTATTAGATTGGAGTGTGTTTTTTAAAAGTCACAGCTGGATAGAGTAATGTTGGAAACTGTTGGACCACCAGCACAAGTTAGTGCCCCATAGTTGACATTGTCCAAGAGCTTTTGTCTGGTTTAATAAGAAAATGTTATTGGAATTTATGGCTTTTACTACTTACTACTAGCTGGGTGGCACCTCTGTCTCCCAATTTCCTCATCTGCAAAAGAAACAGAAAATATTTTACCACTGTGGTGGTGGTGGCTGTGTGCCATCGAGTCGGTTCCGACCCATAGTGACCCTGAATAGGGTTTCCGAGGCTGTAAATCTTTACGGGAGGAGAAAGCCTCATCTTTCTCCTGTGGAACAGCTGGTCGTTTCGAACTGCTGACCTTGTGGTTCACAGCCCAATTTGTAACCACTATGCTACCAGAACTCCTTATTTTACTAGTGTAGTAGGGATATTACAATATGTGTGACATTTCTGTAAGCTCTGATAGGCAGAGCTATTATGTAAATCCAACAGATTAATTATTGATGTTGTTAACTGCCATCGAGTCAGTTCCAACTCACAGCGATCCTATATAGGGTTTACAAGGAACAGCTGGTGAGTTTGAACCGCCTACCTTGTAATAAGAATCATAGGACAAAAGAAAAGCACCTTGAGGTCTAGTGCTCTATCTCAATGCCACACCAGGTTGCCATATTAATCATGGAACATAGGAAAACTCTATTATGATAATGCTATAAGTAGAACTTTAACAATTTTAGACATTTCAAACATAGGGCTGCATTATTGAAATGCTAATGAATTGATCTGCTTGGTGCTCATTGCCTAGCAATATGTTGTTGTTGTTGTGAAGTGTCATTGAGTTGATTCCGGCTCATAGCGACCCTGTATAGGGTTTTCGAACAGTGACTGGTTGATATATGATTAGCAGTTGACAACCACTCTGTACAACAGTATCATGCAGATGGAACCCACAGCCACGCATGGGAGAAAACTATACCAGACTGCTTCCATAAAGATTTACAGCCTTCGAAGCCCTATGGGACAGTACTACTCTGTCCTATAGGGCTGAATTGGAATCTATTTCACAGCAATGGGATTTTTGGTTCTATAAGATTAATTTACTTAATCTTAATAACAATCCTATGAGGGCTCTCAACTGATCTATTTTCAGAGAATTCTTTATTGCCATCAAGTTCCGACTCATAGATGGCTGATTGATCAAACCAACCTTGTGGTCTATGCTTATCCTACAGCACCACACCAGGTCTCCTTTTAGAGAAGAGATGTGTGATTTTCTTTTGTCTTGTGATTCTTATTATGGTGTTGAATTATGGTGTTTGAGAAAATATTAAAATAACTATGGACTTCAAAAAGAACAAACAAATCTGTGTTGGAAGAAGTGCAGCCAGAATGCTCCTTAGAAGACAGGATGGCGAGACTTCATCTCTCATTTTTCAGTCATGTTATCAGGAGGGACTAGTCTCTAGAGAAGGACGTTATACTTGGTAAAAAGGAAGGTCAGCGAAAAAGAGGAAGACCCCAAAAGAGATGGCTTGGCACAATGGCAGCAGTAATGAGCTTAAATTTAACAACAGTTTTGAGGCTGGCACAGAACATGACAGTGTTTTGTTCTGGTTTACATAGGATCGCTATGAGTTGGAGTTGGATGGCACTTAACAGCAATGATTCTTCTTTGGTATTATGTTACATATTTATACTTATGGCTATTATCATATACATTATATAGATATTGTTAAGTGCCATCAAGTAACCCAGTATAGGGCTCCTGAAGTGTGGCTGGTGAGTTTGAACCACTGAGCTTGTGGGTCAAACTGACCTTATGTTCGAGTGTGTATATATATATATGTATATATATATATATATATAT